GGGGAGAGGCGCCGGGTATGCAGGCGGTGGTAGCGGGCCGGGAGGTGGGATGCTGTCGCGGAAGAAGACGCGTACGGAGCTCTCCAAACCGGGCGAGGTGCAGGGCAAGTACGTGAAGAAGGAGACCAGCCCTCTGCTTCGCAGTGAGTGTCGGCGACGGACTTAGGAGGACGAGCCCAAGGCCTCCGGGGTGGGGGGGCGGCTCCTTTGTGTGGCCCGGCGGGTCTTTGGGGGTTTCCCTTGACGCGGTGGGTCTGGTTGTGAGGCCTAAGGGCCGATGGAGGGAGCTTAAACCTGAAGGGGAGGCTGAACGTGAAAGGCAGCCCCACACAGAGTGTACCGCCAGGTGCTCACGGTAAAAAAACCTGGGGTTTTTCAATTACTTTCTTAGCTGCCGTTGCTCAGTGTCAACAGGTAAGGGTTAAGTTAGCCCCTGAGCAGGGATTTTTCAGCTGAACGTCGCAGATTATATCTTTCTTTCCAGAAATCAGTGGATTTTTTCCCAGTCTAGGCTGTGCACGCTGCCAGAAGGTGTGTGCTTTGCGAAGGAGATAACTGTACGTGGCAGTTGCATCAAATCCCCACAGAAGCGAGCGCTCCAGTTCTTAACCATGAATCAACTGGATAAGGTCACCACTGTGTACCTTGGATGCACGGATTTTCAGGTGGTTGACCTGCTGCTGGTGCTGCAGTCCTGGTTTTGCTGGGACTATACAAAAGATCAGCAAATGCACAGTGAAAGTGTTCTTAGGTTTCTTTTTGTTAATCTTGAAAACAACCTGAGACTGAAATGTATTATGCTATAATTGCAGGATTAGCGTGGAGATCACAACTGGCAGCAACTGATTTACTGGCAGGAGCATGCACTCAGCTTTTCTGGAAGTATTTGCTGCTTGAACAGCTGGCTCCCCCATCAACAGGCTGATGCATTTACTACATACATTTAATAGTCTGATTACATTGACTTAATCCTTAAAAAAAAACACAAAACAAACAAAAAAACCACAAAAAACCAACAAACCAGACACAAAAACCACGAAGTTTTTTTTGTATTAAGCTGTGGGTGTGTCTGAGGAGTTAACATCTTTTACACATTTATGCTATTTGCCATGATGCCATGCCCAGTTATTACATGACTCTGTTGTTGTGATCTTTCTAAATTTACTGATGACAACCTGGGATGCACTGAATTTTTACCTGAAGTTAGAAGAGTTTTTAATTAATAAAAACTAATTAATGGTAGGCATAGCTACCTTCTAAGTGGAAGTCATAGTTTGTATCAGGTCACCTGGAGGGAAACTGCTTATTTATATCATGTTGAAGGTAATAGTAAGGAGAAGAGTAATGTGTTGCTTACTGGAGGGAGGCAGTGAAAATGCTTGAGTAGATGTCACTGTTGGTGTGCAGAATCTCTTTAGGTGAAGGAGAAAGCGAAGTCTCTTCATGATAATTTGAAAACTTAAGGTGTGTGGAATGACACCATTTGCTGGCTGAACTTTGTGATTAGTGGAGAAGGCATTAATTCGAGTCTGCCATGGGTTCCTGTGAGCACGTAGGCGTTAATGCCTCTGGTTATTCTGGGTTCGTAAGGGCAGCAAGGGGTTCTGCTGCACCCGTGCAAACTGCAGCGTTACCATTATACTTGCAGATGCATCGGAGGTGCTTTAAATGGGTTTTCGCATTTGTGTTTCCTCAGTTCCATGGTGTAAGTCAGCATTCTGTCTAGCCAAATGCTTTATGTGTAAGTGCAGCCAGAGTTCTTACTTCTCTTTCACACCATATATCAGATCTGATGCCTTCATTTATCCGTCACGGTCCAACCATTCCAAGACGAACTGATATCTGTCCCCCTGACTCAACTTCTGCTGCCTACGCTTCTGGTGGAGATGGAATTGTTTCCAGAAACCAGAGTTTCCTTCGAACTCCAGTGCAGAGGCCACCTCATGAAATAATGAGGCGGGAAAGCAACAGACTGTCGGCACCTTCCTATCTCGCAAGAAGTTTAGCTGATGTCCCTAGAGAATATGGCTCTTCCTCCCAGTCCTTTTTAACAGAAGCTAATTCTGTTTTGGAAAATGGAGATGCTGGTGCCCGTTGTTATTATTACGATCATTTTTACGACGCCCAGAGGAGACGTCAGTTAAACGATCGCGTACATGAGGACTACAGGTATTATGAACACAACAGCAGCCTTTTCCAGAGGATGTCACAGAATCATGGGAGGCACACTCCAGGTAGGTACTGATTAATTGCTCTTTTTTAAAAACCTGGTTTTTGATAAGGTTTTGGGTGCAGAGGTACATCTGGATGATCAGGGGCATGTTTTTAGCAGTTAGGCTGTGTAGGACAGAGCTGCTTTTTAATGACGCTTCTGTGATCTGAGTACGCTGTGTGTTCACTTTCTTAGCATTAAGGGTTTCACATATTCAGAAAGGAAAAATGCACTTAAACTAGGATTTATGTACTAAATAAATGGGGTTAGGTCAGGCAAGTTTTTCTTTAATGCCAAGTGTATCTGCAGCTCTTCTACACAAAGTTGAATCAGTTGCTAGCTAGCAAGGAATTGTATTCATTAGTGGACATCTGCTATGTTTGTGATGTAGAGAATAGCCAACAGCTCTAAAGTGTAACATTGCCATTTTGTTTTATCATTATTATTGTCTTTTAACTATCATCATGTTATTATTTAATTTGATTGTGTTGATTTGACCTCGATAATTAGACTAATTTATTATAAATAGTCAAAGGGAGGAATGGCTGCTTTGTGAGATTAGCAAATTGGCACACAGTTATTGCCAAAATTGGCTTCTAGTCTTTGACTCTTTTTTCCCTTTTAGCTTGTAACATTGTTTGTAAATATGCCCAGTTTCCCTCTCAATTTCACTGGGAAATGTCTTTGTTTTCTAAAGGAAGAGCAGCATAAGAAAGAAGAATCCATTAACATTACTTTTTTTGAAATACTGGATTCTACCTGTGGTGACATGGAAGAATAATTCTTTGGTGCAGTGTGCTGTTGTGAATCTATTGGTGGAATAAAAAGTCTGGGATTACAATATTGCCCATAGAAAGGTGAACTTAAAAGTAGGAAACTGTGCACTTTATATACTACAGAAACCATGCTCAAGGAGGAGTTTGAAACAAACACTTCAAACCTGTAAATAATGTGCCTTCAGTATGAAATATGTTGTTACTTTATCAATACTTGTAATCTGTAAACAAAATAGTACATAGTCCCTAGTAAAATAAATCTCTTGTCTAGAAAAATAAATCTGCTAGGAAGAATGTCAGCGTTTAAGGCTGCTGACCTTGTGTATGGGATTAAAACCAGACCATGCTTTCTGCATTTTTTACTACAGAAACATTTCAATGACAAGTGACAGAAGAGTAACGCTAGTGTTACTGCTGTCAGCCAGTAGATCCTGAAATACTAAGGTTTAAGATGTGCTACTTTAATCCTCATTTATTTTGCTAAATGCTGATACATCAGATCTACCTACATTTTGCATGGAAGCTCTCCATCTCTGTCAGTTGTTCAGCTGGCAGTCATTAACCATTTACCTGGTCCAGATAACGAGCACCAGTTAGCATGTACTGGGATGTTGTAGGGAGGAGAGACAGGAGGGGAGGATTTCCTAAACCAATCCATCAATTTAACTTTCAGAATTAACTCTGTGTGCTGAGGAAGACTTCCAAAACATGGTTTTGCTGCTGTGTGGAGTGAAAATGGAGCTCTAGCTCTTAGTGTGAAAGTAGATGTTAATCTAGCAAATTTTTAAAACACGCTCACAGTAGAGCTTTACAGATTTATTTTTCTCAATCGTAGCAACGTGGATTTCTTTCTAACATGACTGTTCCCCCCCCCGCTGTTTGTCTGCATGCCCCTTAGCCACTGACAATCATAACGGAGTTGCTGACATTTGTTTGGTCTTTGTCATTCACTCTCATATTTTTGCGTTTAATAGTTTGAACAGATTCTACACATACTTTGCAATGAGTGAGTATTCAATCTCATGTATGGTAGGAAGAGACAAAAAAAGGCGAGCCTCTTGTGTGCCAAAGTGTTTTGCCTTTTCTCTGTTTTTTTCTCTTTCATCTCAGCATGGAATATGAACTCTTGAATTCCTCTTGCAGTTTCACTGCAGTAAGAATATTGACCTATGTCCTTAACTTCTGTTACTTTTTCTCAGTAAAAGAATTCTATGGCCAAAAATAAAACCTTAAGATTTTCTAACTTCTTTCATCTCACCATCAAGCTTCTTTTTATTTGAACCGTCCATTGACTTCAAACCTTCCGTGGTTTCCTTGAGCTACACTGATGGTTCTGTAATTCCTAGTCCCTTTGCCCCTGTATTTCCAGAATACCGAGTTGGGCCTTTTACTTTCATTGTCTTTGTCTAAATTACTTTTTCCATCTGCATCTCCATTATTGTTTCTAAATGTTGCACCTCATCAGAATTCTTCCTCACGATAGTTGATGACAAAATTGCCAGATACCCACAGTTTCAACATACAAGTCCATTTATTAGCTAGAATCTGTGAATGCTGCCTCCTACCCTTTTCCTCCTCTCCCACCCCCCTCAGAAGGTCCCCTCAGTCAGTTAACTGTGCAGGTTTGGGTTGGTTGCTGCAAAACTGTTGTTGCTGATGCACACAAGGTGTGTTTGCTGCTGGTGAGCGATGTTTCATCAGTGCTGGTTACAGCTGAGATGAGTTTTAAGAAGCAGTGGTCTGGAAGTGAAGAGGTGCATGTGAATTTCAGCTTTCAGTCAAAATAAAGATTCTCCTCTTTATCATTTGGAGAGAAGTTGAAAACATGCTCTTATTGAGATCTTCAGACTCAAAGTATTCAAGCCAATCCCAAGGTTTTTCAACAGTTGATGTTGACAGCATTGCTGTGTTCTTTCATAGGCATTTCTCCTTGAAGTCATGTTTTCTCTTTCAGTGTGATTCCTCCTCCTCATTCTCATTAGATTTGTTTTCACTTTGCAATCTAGTGCTGCTGGTTTTCCTGATAAATGTCTTCAGTTGAGATATTTCCTAGTTTTGTCTGTTTACCTACCTCTGTGGTGTTTCTTGAATTTTTTTTGGTGTCCATTTCAAACTTAATTCTAAGAGACTTTACCTGTCTTTCCTCGACATCTCTTTCCTCTCTTCTAGGTTAAAGGTTTGGGGAGGTCTGTGGTTGAAGTTATATCTACAGTATAGATTGGAACTAACTTGTAACCAAGACCTCAGAGTTATTTGTACCTGTTTGAGCGGTAAGCTAAAAAATTCTTCTGTGTATATGAAAATTGCTGAGATTAAAATCACAGTGTAAAGGGACTTGCTGTTGGTGGACTGTAAGCAGTTGATGTGAGAGGAGAAAAGCGATTAATCGTGTGAACAGAGGATCCAGTGCACGTTGGTGAAAGTGGATTCATCGCATGTTAAATTGTGCACTTGAAAAAATACAGACTCTCCATGTTTAATACAAGAGCAAAATAAAGAAGTACAAATTATTAAATGAAACCCATTTAGAGGTAAAGTAGCAGGGCTTTTCTTTTTAGGTGGGTACACTTCACTCAGTTTTTTCACAAATGTCAGTTCCTGCCCTTTTCTTCACTTGTGCTGATTCTGCAGTAATTTGTTTGTAGCATACTTTTCAAAGTACTTCCTGTCATTTCCTATTTGTGAACTTATGCTCACTTGGAATGCCCCATTCCCTCTGCAGACGGGGAACTTGTGCTCAGGAAGCACCTCCAGACACTTTGGCGTGGGCGAAGAACCTGCCCAGAACCTGCAGACCCATCTAAACAGGATAGTTACCAAAATGTCTTTTTGCTGTTTTATTGTTACTTACTCCCTTAAAATTAAACCATTTGTTCATATTCTCTTCCTGTTCTTCATCCTGGTTTGAAGTGGGGAAGGGAGAGGATTTTGGCATCCTGAAAAAAAGGCTCTTAGGACAATTGACCTAATTGAAGACAAATATGAAGGCCTTTTGGCTAGATTTGTTCTTCGACACTTTCAAATTTGGTTGAAGCTCATTGTGGGGAGTTTGCAGACTCTAAAACTCCTCTGCCTGCATCAGCCCTGTATCTAATGAGGGCCTGACCTTACTTAAAACTCTGAATATTTTAGATCTTGTTAATACTACTACTAAGTGGTTGCAGTTCCTTTGTACTTTCTTATTTCAAAGTGTTGAGAACATACACTGTGATACTTCAAGAAAAATGCGTTGAACAGGATTTTCTTTTGCTTTGTAACAGCACGTAACACCTCGTGGCCTGGTTGAGTTAATTCAGGACCTTAAACTGAAGGTACTCTTATTTTACACAAAAAGGAAAAAGCAAAGCCACAAATAATGTTCAGTATTGATGTTCCTTAAGAGAAACAGCTGAACCAAAATATACACTAGATATTTTGATGAAAATTGTTTGGGTTGTAAGTTTGGGTTTTTTCCTGTAGATATTTTGCATTGTGCTGTGTGGATGTGGTACCAGCCCATGAGTCAGAGCATATCCTTGGTGTGCGCAGTAAAATCTCACGTGAAGCTTTGGGCTGCTATGAAAATGCTTTAGGGCTGAGACCTTGCCTGAAATTCAAACACAGAAGAGCATCATACTTGGGCAATATGGCACAGAAAAGGTCATGTTCACACGAGATGGTTTTAGGCTGTCTTGTAACGTTTTTTTCTTAGGTTAACAGTTTGGAAAAGATCATGTATGAATTATTCATTGAAATGTTCAGTCTTAGTCTCGATACTTCCAGGCTTACGTATCTGAAAGTCATTTTTCATCTTCTCACATTGGTCAGAATCGTAGCAGGAGCTGTTTCTCTTATGTGTGCATCCACTCTCCCTAGAAGGCAGCGTCTGCTGAGTTGTATGAGGAAAACCAATATACAATTACATTTGATCTCTAATAACTCCAGTTAGATAAACAGATGTATAAATTGTACTAATTGCCAACCTGAATGCCATAGCAGGTCGATGGAGACCAGGAATATCACCTGATGTCTTAAAACATCCAGCATGGAGAATATTTTGATATGATCTGCTATTTTAAGGGGGAAAATGCACATTAAGACTGTACGTGATAGTCTGCAACTTGAAGTATTTGCAACTGGCTGTTTAGAAATCTGACACTTGATTTCATAACTAGAGCTTGCTGGTTCTGTTCAAAACTGGTCACTGCTACAGCTGTGTAGGTTCATCCGTCGGTATGGCTCTGCTGCTTCATGTATGAAGGCCAAATGGCAAAAGGAACGTGTAATTTATTTGTGGTCTGGCATTATTTTTGCTCTTTGCCTTTTGGAAATTAAGAAAAGAAAAGCTGGCATTGGGAGAAACCATGTAGCTGGAGTTAAATGATTGTGCAAACACAGAACTGCCAGTGTTGCCTTTCTGTTGGGTGGAGTGCTGCTTTTTAGCCCGTTTTCTACCTGATTTCTCAATGTAATCAGATTTTGGGTTTCCTTTCTAGCTGAGTCCAGCTCCCAGCCTTCTCTGACTTTTGTATGAGGAGATACAGGTGTTGTGTCAGGAAAACTGGTGCAGCTTGTGCAGCTTTTAATACCAGCTTCCAAATGTTAGAAAGGATTAACCTTTACCCCAAGGAGTAAAAGTAGAAGTATTTGCTGCTGGCATTATGCTAGAATGAAAGTAGGAGGAACTGTAACAAAAATACCGATATGTGCTGGTATTATCAGTGAACAGAAAAATGTTTGTGCCTTTGTGAAATTTCTTTTCCCCAGTCAAGTTTGTGCATTCAGATCATCTGGTAGCGGTGTTTTCATAGTCACTGTACATGAAATTACAGCACAGCAGTCCAGTTAATTGCAGAAAATACTGAAGTTGTTTATCCAAAGCGCAGTATTTTCTAGAAGCTTTAAATGTTTGTATTTTGTCAGTGGAATGAAAACAAACCCAGTGACATAACTGTAGCCAGGGGCTGAAATTGTTTCCCTGCCCCAGTGCTGCTAAGGGTCAGGAAGCCTCTAGGATGTTTCTTCTCACTGGAAGTAAAGGTCTGGGTTGCTTAATCCTAACGGGAGATGGGAGCTGGCACATGAACACAGCCACCAACTTTTCTTTGTAAAGCTAAAAAGTAGGTAAGTACTGTAACAAGAGGAAATAAGGGGCAGATGAGTCAGAACATGACAAGGCTAGAAAAAAAATAGGCTCTGCTTTTGCCTTCCACTCTCAAAAAATAATAACACCAAAATGTTATTTCAGCGGAAGGAAATGGGTGTATTTCTCAGTAAACGTGGTGCTTGTGATGGAGTCACTTTGGGACTTCTAAGAAAGTGGGGAAAAGTAGCTCCCATGCCCCTTCTGGCTGTGGAAATAGTAATAAACTGATGAATACTGTGATTAAATAGATGTCTTTGATTATGGGATGAAAAGGTAACTGGAATTTATTTAAAACCAGAGACTGTTTACCTGTAGGACCGTGGGTAACTGAAGGTAATTACTTTAAAAAAGGGTTTAAAAGAGAGAGTTGAGTTTGGGCCAGCACAAATAGACTACAAGGAATGGAGAGAGACCTGCGGAATTCTTCATTGTGGTACTTGGCTTTTGTGCCTGGGGTTTTGGGGTTTGTTGGGGATTTTTTTTTAGTTTTCTGTAATAATTATTATGGCTTTTATTTCAGCTGGCTTCCTAAGTATCCATAGTATATACAGGGAAGGGAAAGGTGAAGTTGGAATGATGTTTCTTCAGGACATCTCTCTGCATCTAGCATGCTTATGTTTATACTGTGTGCGTTATTAAAACAAATCACTTATTTTACCCTGCTAGTGAACAGCGTCTTGAATCAACTGTTTAGAGATAAATTCCAAATGTGCTGTGTTGCTGGGGCAGAGGTGGGAGCTCAGTCACCCACTGCTCCTTGGCTGCTCTCCTGCCCCAAATTCACTGCGGTACCTCAGGCTGGGGGAAGCTGATGTTGTAGATGTTGCTGGGTTTGGGTATTACCAGTTTAGCTAAACATTGCTTTCCGTTTTTCCCATTTTTTTAGGCATTGGTAGAGTTGCTGCTACATCTCTAGGGAACTTAACAAATCACAGCACTGAGGATTTACCTCTTCCTCCTGGCTGGTCAGTGGACTGGACTATCAGAGGAAGGAAATACTACATAGATCACAACACCAACACCACGCACTGGAGCCACCCGCTCGAGCGCGAGGGGCTGCCGCCGGGGTGGGAGAGAGTCGAGTCCCCGGAATTTGGAGTGTATTATGTAGATCACATCAATAAAAGGGCTCAGTATAAGCATCCTTGTGCTCCCAGGTAAGACATACACTTTCTCTCCTGTGATTGGTTTTTCCTTAATCCAGTTAAGAAAGCGGCACTGGTTTTGTCTCATAGGTAGCACGCCAAAACCTTCTTTTTTTTAGAAGTAAGCTTTACTGGTTCTTGACTAAGAGTTTTTTGAAGCTCTAATTGTTAGGTTTTTGTCTCCTCTGTTGCTGTCTTAAGTTTAGAAACAGGATATTGTTCCTAACTCACTAAAACAAAGCAGCTATTTTCTTCAACAGTCAGTAAAACAGAATTGAACTGTAGACAGAAAAGAAACTCGACCTGATGTTGCAGGAGACTGAACAAACAGCACACATCATCTGAAACATGAATTAAGTCTTGTCTACATTGAAAATAGCTGGTTTAGTCACTTATAACTTAAAGGTAAAATAAATTTAGTCTACACCAAATCCACCAGTTAATTTCTGATACTCAATCTAGTTTGCTGTTACCCAGGAAGAGAAAGTTTTTTAACATTTAACAGAAGACGAAGATCAAGGTACAAGAATGTCCTTTGCTATAAGTGGAATAACTCTTATCAGCTGCTGCCTGAATACGTTTGTTCTGACATAAACTGAGGGTTATTTGGCTGAATCAATACTTGCCTTTTTTAATCTTTTAAAACCAGGGATCATTTTTTGTTCTGCTTTAGTGTCCAGTAGCAGGCAGTAGGTGAATGAGTCTAAGGTGAATTTTAGGGTGCTGACAGGCAGCAGCGACACTTAGAGTTGTGATTGCAGCAAAGCATAAAAACAGCAGCAGAAAACTGCTCTCGGTATGGGCCTGCTCTGTGGTTGCATCATCACCCTTTGATGTATTCATTTGCTTGTTAATATTAACAATTTATTAACACTATTATGACTTAACTTATTGCTTGGAGTTTATGGACTTTGTCTTTGCACAGTGTTCCCCGCTACGACCAGCCACCCCCGGTGACTTACCAGCCACAGCAAGCGGAGAGGAGCCAGCCCCTCTTGGTCCCTGCAAACCCCTACCACACTGCTGACATCCCGGACTGGCTGCAGGTCTACGCCAGGGCTCCTGTCAAGTGAGCTTTTCCTTTAATTCCCATCTGCTTTTCACACTCTGCATGCATAGCTTAGAAGGAAAAGGAATTTATCTTGATGCCTGAAAGTAGAACTCGAGCAGATAGCTACTTCTTAATTGCTGACCGTGGATAAGGAAGTTTTTCCAGATGTTCATCGCATTGGTTTGCTTTTACTGGGCATTACTTCAAATCATCACTGTACTTCTTGCAGTTCACCTGACTTGCAGAATTAGAGAGCTGAGGATGTGATTTGCTTTTCACTGAAAACAGTACCATGTGGCTTATAAAGTATGTGAAATATTTTTAGGGTGTTAACTTCTTGATGTGTATCTTACTCCTTTTTTAAAAATTACATACACATTCTCCTTTGTAATTAGGAATTTTCTGTATAGGCTGAAATCTGTATTTCTCTTCAAGAACTTTAATTAAAACTAAGTGGTAGTAAAAAGTCGTTTTTTTAAAGAAATGATGCTTTAGGAACAGGGAGTCTCCTCCAAGAAAAGGTGGGAGTCAGCAAAATGAAACCCACTCATAAGAAGGATGTTGAGATTCTGGAGTGTGTTCAGAGAAGAGCCACAAGGATGGGGAGGGCTCTGGAGAACAAGCCTGATGAGGAGTGGCTGAGGGAACTGGGCTTGTTTAGCCTGGAGAAGAGAAGGCTGAGGGGAGACCTCATCACCAGCTACAACTGCCTCAAGGGAGGTTGTGGAGAGGTGGGTGCTGGGCTCTCCTCCCAGGTGATGGAGGATAGAACAAGGGGAAACGGCACCAAGCTGTGCCAAGGGAGGTTCAGGTCAGAGATAAGGAGGAAGTTCTTTACTGAGAGGGTCGTCAGAAGCTGGAACAGGCTGCCCAGGGAGGTGGTGGAGTCACCATCCCTGGATGTGTTTAAAGAGCGGGTAGATGAGGTACTTAAGGATATGGTTTAGGGGGTAGACAGGAACGGGTGGACGTGATGATCTCAAAGGGCTTTTCCAACCGAGATTCTGTGTGATTCTGTGAAACAACTTACATCTTCTAATGGGTACAGATTTGCAGAAGAGTAATACTAAATAGAAAAGCAATTTAAAGATCCAGATATGATTTAATAATTATGAAATCATGTACTTTCTCATAAGGAGAATGTGGAGAAACTGAGTGTTACCGCCCTGAGCAGGTCAGTCTGTAGTTGCACACTCAGGCTGTGGGTGCTGTTCAGTGACTTCCAGCTAAAAAAATCATCTTTTTTTTTTTAAGCTGCTTCTAGTAACTGTAATGTGAAGGGGGTTTATTGAATGGGGTTTCTTGTGGTGACTCTGCTTGCCAGCAGCCCATAAAGATTTCAGTTGGCCTAAAATCCTGCAGCAGTGCACTTCTGCACCAGGCACACGTTCCTGTAACCTGTGGCAGGACATGTTGCCTAGAAATACTTGGAGCTTTTGGCTGCAGCTGAATTTCTTTCTTTAGGTCTTGGGCACATCCCGGCAATGTAATTTTAAATATTTGGGCCTGTGCTGTATGAACTCTTGTTTGTTCTTCTCTTGAAACTTGAGAAACAAATTTATGACCATTTAAACCATTTAAGATTATCAGGAATAAGCCTTCTGTTAAAGTAGCACTGGTGGTAACAGCAATATCGTCGTAATGCTCGAAACACTCCCGTGAAGCAGCAAATTCTGGTTTATGCCAATATTACACTGGAAAAGTGAGGAGGAGTGGTGGCAGCTGGCTTAGCGTCACCTCATCTTGAGGAATGCTTAAGGAACCATTGCTAAATAACTTTCACAGTTATTAAAATCAAGATCATTTATATATTTTCAATGTAATTTTAATAATGAGCCTCTTCCCTGTTGCCAAAGCAACTGGCTTAAAGCTTGAGCAGAACATCCAGGAGCACTTGAGGTTTTCAGTCGTGCTGTCCAGAAGCTGAGTGTGAGATCTGTGTGCATATCACAGAATCACAGAACCACAGAACGTTCGGGATTGGAAGGGACCTCAAAAGATCATCTAATCCAATCCCCCTGCCGGAGCAGGAACACCCAGATGAGGTTACACAGGAAGGCGTCCAGGCGGGTTTTGAATGTCTGCAGAGAAGGAGACTCCACAACCTCTCTGGGCAGCCTGGGCCAGGGCTCTGTCACCCTCACTGAGAAGAAGTTTCTTCTCAAATTGAAGTGGAACCTCCTGTGTTCCAGCTTGTACCCATTACCCCTTGTCCTATCATTGTTTGTCACCGAGAAGAGCCTGGCTCCATCCTCGTGACACTCACCCTTGAAATATTTGTAAACATGAATGAGGTCTCCCCTCAGTCTCCTCTTCTGCAAACTAAAGAGCCCCAGCTCCCTCAGCCGCTCCTCATAAGGGAGATGCTCCACTCCCTTGATCATCTTGTGTTCTGGTGCAAAAGTTAAAGTGGGCAAAATGCTGTTGTAGCAGGAGTAGAGGAAAACCTTTTGCAGTCTATTTGAAATCTGTAAACATCTGTTGATTATCAGTACTTGCTACCTACACCTGACACTGTTGCTTGATTTAGCTGACTAAAAGCCAGTTGTTTTTGTTGTGAGAAGTAGGTAATGATAGCAAAAATGATGTTAGCTTTTGTTTCAGCAAGTTTCTCTAAAGGGAAAGAATTCTGGTCAAACTGTTGAGATAAAAAAACCAAGACATTTGGCTCACCAGACAGTGCAGAGGCTTTGTTATAACCTGAGGTAACCATTTCCATTATCGAGGTATTCGTGATACCTTGAAGCTCTTTTCCCCTCTTCTGGCATCTGTTGAGGTTTGTTTTGAGGGTGCAAGTGCAGCTCTCAGAGTCTGAGCACAGTGGAGCCAACTCCTGGCTTGGATTTAACCCTCGGCCTGACTCCAAAATCGAGTCCCTCCACCTTCCAGGTCAGGTAACCCACTCTGGTGGGCGTCCCACAGCGGACTGGGACTGGGAGGGTGGGGAGACTAAAAATGCCCACCATGGTTTGGATTCTTCCCCCACCTCTTTTGGAGCAAGGATCTGAACCCAGGACTTTCTTCTTCCAGCCCTATCCAAAAGGCTGTAAACATTGAGGGCAAGTCCAGGCTCTCTTGTGTTGAAAGGGCCCTATTTTTTTATTAAATACTTGTTGAACTTTGTGCTCTGTGACCAGTTCCCTTTCTAAAAACCACCTGGGGAGCCCAGCTCAGGCACTGGCGCTCTGCCCTGTCAGGACTTGGGGTAACTTTAATACAGAAGCTGTTATTGAGGAAGTTTACAGAACCTGTGGTTGTTCTTAAGTTCTTAAAATTCCTCAGGAGCGTCTTTGGTTGTCACCTGCACATCTTGGTGCTTCTGGGTGCCTGCAGCCTTCTGAATACATCTTTTTCAATATGTAATGTAGTTGATTTGCATTAACTTACTGATATTTTTGCTTCAGCCTCCACTCAAGTGAACAGATTTCCTCCTGTGATTTAGTTAGCTCAAATAACTGTTTGTTCCTGGGGGTTCTTCTTTTAGTAACTGCAGTAGTCAGCTGCCTATTTCCAGCTTAAAATGAGATTGCAAGTAAATTAGAAGAGCTGAGGAAAAGCAGGAAATGAGGGGCATTGCAGTGATGAAGTAACTGCACCCAAGCCTCGAAGGGAACAGCCTCTTTATTTGATGCTTTGATGTCTCTAAATATCTGCAGTCGTTTCACTGCATTGTTAAAGTGCAGGAGGGAAAAGCAAAATGATGGAAACAAAAGTGTGAGGGAAGGCTTGGGGCACTGTGCGCTCTGGGAGGGATCCACTGCGGGGTGTTAGGGTCAGGTGTTGAAAGAATTCACTTATTTTTCAGAGTTACTCAGATTTTTAAAAGATGTTTTACTGCAAAGTCTCTGAGGCTGCTTGTGAATGGAATTGCTGTTTTAACACTTCCAAAATGCACCTTCTGCATTGGTTTATGATAATCTTCAGTATTTCTAGAGTTTATCTGGGAGCGATGCTGCAGTTCAGGTGTGTTTCTCCGACTCACTTTGAGACACAGCTCCCTGTCTTTCGGAGTTAAATTACCCCATTTCTTCACCTCAGTTTGTTAGACATCCAATCAGGGGCTGTGCAGCCGGGGGGCTCGCAGGACCACGTAGCAATTCTCTTTTCTGCCACCCCAGGTACGACCACATCCTGAAGTGGGAGCTGTTCCAGCTGGCGGACCTGGACACGTACCAGGGGATGCTGAAGCTGCTGTTCATGAAGGAGCTGGAGCGCATCGTGAAGCTGTACGAGGCCTTCAGACAGGCGCTGCTCACCGAGCTGGAGCACCGCAAGCAGAGGCAGCAGTGGTACGCCCAGCAGCACGGCAAGAATTTTTAAGCTAACAACTCTTTTTTTTAAAATTTTTTTTAATAAATAGACTTTTTGTGAGGACACCTCAGAGCTTTAAAAGGGGTTTGTTTGGTTTTTTTCACACTTCAAACTATGAAAAAGTGCTTTTGTGGAAAAGGCAGCTTATTTTTGTTGACGTTGCACCTTTGTTATTATCCTCTTGAATATTTTTCTACATGTATGATGCCTTGTTTATAAAAATGACAAATGTTTGTCAGTCTTTGTTTTTCCATACAAGAAGTAGTTTATTATTCTGAAAACCAGCGCGGAGTTTAATCAGACTTGACTGCGGTCTCTTTTTTCTAGCAGTCGGCTGTGTTATTAGGAAGCTGACTTCATCTTTTTCAAGGGCAATAGATGCAACTCCATGGATCCAAATCCAAATGAATATTTTGGTGTATTTCCCCCAGGGTTCCAGATCCCTCTCTGGGACGGGGCTGCTCCTTGTTTACAGCTTTAACACCGTTCCTTTCCAGTAACACCAGCGCTGTCACCAGGCCGAAGCGGATTTCATCGCTCTTAACCAAGCGCTTCACGAAAGCAAAGGCCGAGTTGCCTTATTTTTGTAATTTCACACATTACTACTCTAGATTTACTACTAGTTTTCACAGAAGTTACTCAGAGGGGAACTATTTGTACCTTTTTAAAGACCAAGATCTCAAAGCAAACTTTTCAAAGGTTTTTAACTGCTGGGTGAGCTGCATTTCCAGAGATGTGGCCCGGTTGCGTTGTCTCACCAGCCCACGGCATAAATGGGGGATGTGACAACCATTGCTTTTTTTAAACGAGCTTTTGTCGTGCTGAAGCTTCCTTACTTGGGGAACAGTTTTAATTGTACAGTTACACTACCCGATATTTTCATTTGGTTCCTTGATTGTCTGAAATGTTATTTATGGATTCTTTTTAGTGCAATAAACATTGTTGCCGACAAAAAAACCCCCCCAACATTTCTTGTAAGTCCTATTAATTCAATAAAAATCATTTTGTTTAATGAATGAAGGGTTGTTCAACTGATTATTTTTAAGTGCATGAAGCTGAGCTGGGCTCTGGCTCTGTTGATGGGTCCTATGGGAGGAAGGGGGCTCCTGCAGCCCCTGACCCTCAGTTTTGGCCCTTGCTTTGCTTCAGCAGCTTTTCCTCTGCTGTTAAAAGCTGGAGACTTCATTTTGCCTAAGACTTATAAAACCTGGCTTTACCTGCGCAGTGCCAGAAGCACCGGGGCAGAATATTTTCAAAATACCAACTTAAAACCCACCCATTCTGAAGCTTTTTGAAGGTTTCAAAAGGAACCAAGAATAAAACAGCCGAGAGGAGAAGCTCTCGCCTCATTCATCAGTAACCACTCCCTGTGTAACCGAGCTCTTAGGAACCAGAAGCAAACTTTAATAGTTCTGACAAGAAAAGAACAGAAGTGGTGACCACACTGTGGATGCACTGTAATGAATATATACAGAAATACAGTGAAACTGCCTCCGATACGTAGACAAAGTGAGACTGTGCATCGCTTATGAACAGACAGGGCTGCGTGCCTTACAAGCTTGGTCACATTCCACAGCAGAGGTGTCCTTGCAGGTTCTGATAAAGCAAGTCAATACATTTGTAATCGTGTTTATGTCATTAAACAGTTAATTGAAGAAAAAACTTGGTTACATGTTATAACTTGTTCAAGTACCTGAAAATAAGTTGGCTTTTGAGTAATGCTAAGGTCTGGAAGGTTTTTAGTTGCAGAATTGTGTAACGTAACGATTTCTTCAGTGACTTCATAACTAATTATGAAGGGGAAACGAAGGCTTCATAATTAGGTGGGAAGTCCGCTGGCAGTTACAAATTCAAAGCGCTTTGTCGTTGCGGCAGTACCACTACGTACATCTCAACAAAACGAACAACGCTGCCGCCTTACCAACGAACACCGTGCCACTGAACGATGCACTGCCACCACCTCACGGGTGCCTCCTCCTCCGCTCTCCCTGTCCGGTGCTGGGAGCCGGGGAGGAGCTGGTCGTGCCCCGCTGGCACTGCTCACAGTGTCTTCCTGTCGGGGCCCTCAGCTGGCTCCGCTCTCTGCGCAGGGAAGGCGTGGTGGTACAAATGTCTGTGCGTTGCTGCCGCGCTGTACAGCTTGTACAAAGCCTGGGGAAACAGAGAGGAGATGGTTATGGCCCCGGCTGCGCCACAGCGCCCGTGTGCTGTGCTTTTGTGTGCACGCAGGTCGAAACCTGCAGGTCAGCTCTTGATCGTGTCAAGCGTCCAACAGGGAAAAGCATTAAGACGGCTCATTTGCTGAGTTTTCAGAGGTCTCAGCTATGGGAGGAGCCCCTGGGGTTGTATGAAGCCAAGGAGCGCCTGGAGTACAAGTAGGGAGCTTACAGGGGTTGGTTTATTTCCTAAGGGTCTCAAATTTCTGCATCCTCAACGTTTTGTTTTACAGCACCAGGCAGACCCGTGCTGTGTCACACGGAGGGCGTTGCTGTATCACAGGTACCTGGTTTCTCTACATTTCTCTGCAGATAAATGCAGGATTATTCTTCTTCCTTCCAATTCTACCATTTCCAATTTGTGCTCGGGTACGTTTTCCTTTTAGAAAAAGGCATCCTTTGCAAACAGCAGCTCCCCGGTCTCATCAATGTGTGCACCCTGTTTCTGCAGGGTCTGTCACTGGGGGAAAACTAAAACCAAACAGAACCCACTGGCAGCTGCTGGGGTTGCGGATAACGAGGCAGGATTAGGTCAGGCCGGCATGGGACGAGGTGATGCCAATCCCAAAAGGGGCATAGGAAAGAGACGTGAAATTCTGGGGATGCAGTGGAGGAGACTTCATGCAGCATCTCTGGGTTTCTATCTTGAAAATACACCTGCAAACCCGACATAAGTGACCTTGCAGTGTTTTTGTCCTAATTTAGGCTTTTTTTGTGCCAAAGCAGTCTCATGGAGCTGATTTTGGGAGGATTCAAGAGCCCATCGGTGGCAAAGCCGTGTTTTCCTGCTGCACAGCCAGAGCAATGCCCGCGACCCCAGAGGTCGGTGAGCTTTTGGCTGCTCAGCAGTTGTGGCACAACGCGTGGCCCCGAAACAGCCTGGGGGAAGGAATGGGTTGATTTTTACCTAATTTCTTTTTTTTAATGTCCTTTTGAACCTGTAAGAACTCCAACTTTCTTCTAAGAGGAACTTCATAGTGCAGCAGCTGAAAAGTGCATTAACATGGACAGAGGGAGCTGTTGGGCGTTGGTGACACAGTAAAAGATGGACCTGGCTTTTGCTACAGACCTTGGTGGCACCTGGCTACAACGCAGGATTAACGTCCATGCCCAGTCACACCAACTGGTAAGTCGGTATTGAACCATTTTTAGTTTAATTCGATGCTGATGAGGCAGCCGCCCTGAGCCCGGCATCCAAGGGCTCTGCCTGTTCAGTGTCACCTCTCAGCACAACAGGAAAATCCCCACACAGAACCAATGGGAGAAAGATGTAAAAATCTGTCGTAACACACACGTTCCCCACCCAAATCTCTCCCAGCCCCCACACAGAGCGCCCCGTCCTCCACAAGCCCAAAGGTGGCCGAAACATGCAGCAGGGCCTGAGCCGCTGTTCCCCATGGAGCTGCATGCGGGGAGATGGGGAGAGCAACACTACTTACCTCATTCGTGCTTCCCTGGGGAGAGGCGTTGGGAAGGTAAGGGAAGAAAAAGAAAAGGAAAAGCATCTCTGTGTATCACGCACGCCCAGGGAGCGCAGGGTGCTCACACCTCTGCCCACAGCCGCTTACTGGTGCCCAGTACACGCTGCCCATTGTGCAGGACCCCTCAGGGCTCTGGCCACCCCTCCTGCAGCCTGGCCACGGGACAGAGCCACCAGGGCTGCAGACCCACTCGGCCCTGCATGTCCTCGCTGCCCGAGCCCCAGTGCCTGCGGCAGGGCCAGCACTGCCCATCCGCATGGCTCGTTCCCAGACCTTTCCCTCCAGCTGGAAAGCTGTGCCCCACAGCCCATGGGAGCCGCTCTGGGCACTTCAACTGCTTTATTTTCCTCCCAGCTTGGCAGGTTGCAAGCGAGCAGCTTTCTCCTGGCTGCGTCCCATCCTTGCTTAAACCTCCCACTGGTTCCTGCACTGGGATGGGCAAATGCGGGGCTTAACCACACCAGCGTCACCCCAAGACGCCCAGGAAGGGTCCCCAAGCAAATGGCCACAGCACAGGCACTGACCGTTCGGGGGGATGCTGAGGACATGGCCAGGATGAACCCACCTGGGACACAGGCGATGAGCTCCTCTCAAGCCACCTGACTGTAAAGGCAGCCTTGGCTGAGCACCACCACTACCCCGCTCTGGGATGAAGGGACTGAATAATAAATGTTCCATTTTTTTTCATTTTTTCCCCCCCAAAGCTGTATGCTCAGCTCCAGCTGCAGCTCTTGGGGAAGGGGACAGAGGAATGACCAAGTTTTAGGAATACCGTGGCCGTGGGCTGCAATATAACCCTGCAACAGCACATTTGGAAAGTGGGCAGAGCAACACCAGGGGAGATTTCTCCCTGTGATCGTTTTTAAGATTGTCAGAGGTGGTGTTTGATAGGGGCGCCCGACCAAGACCTTCCCATGTTGTCTGGAAAAAAATTAAGAAATCAAAAAAGAGCAGGGAGACCGACTGACCCAGCCCTGTGTGGCTGTAAGGGGAGAGCGGAGCAGAGCCAAGACCCAGCCCCGGGCTCTGGCAGACGCAGGGAGACCCAAAAATCCCTGCCCCAGGAGATAGGGGGTCTGGTCCTTTTGACGGGCACACAAAAGCAGCCACCCCGGCTGTGAGAATGTCTCTGTGGTGGGACCCAAGGCAAAGCTGCCCCATTCCCACAAGGCTCCACAAGCTCAGCTTGTGTCCGAGGCTCCACAAGCATTTGGTGATGGGTAACACAGGAAAGAAAGAAAAAGGCAGAAGGAAACAGCTTGCTCTGAGTTTTGTCATCCTCAGCCCGGGTTTACATGGCCTGTGTCACACT